TTAAGTTGCATAATTCTGGACATTTTTGATGAGACTTAAATAGTTGGATATGTTACCAGGAACTGCATTGTGAAATGAGCTCAATTCAACCTTGATTGTGCATTGTGCAGTGCTTTTACTCTTTGCTGCCAGGAACAACACCAAGCAGAGAGAGAGAGAGAGAGAGAGAGAGAGAGAGAGAGAGAGAGAGAGAGGGGTTTGTAATAGTGACACAACATCCCTGGACTCCTTGTCGCAGTGGCTGACACCAGTATAGAGCGGGTGAATATTACCTGCAGTAACACAAGCTTCTGTCTTCTGCTGCCTGATGCAGATTTTACCAGCAGTGAACAGAGCAGACTCAGTAGAGATATTATTAGTACTGACGATGCATTGAGACACAGTCAGTTGGATGTCCACTGGATGTGTCTGCAGCTCTCACACTCCTTCTGGGTTCCAATGTCCACTAATGAGACGTTTTAGAAGAGGAGAATATTCAAGCTACCTGTTTCTACTTTGTGGCTGTTGCCTTGCTTGATTTGATTAACTGCGCAGCATGCTAACTTCATTTTGTATCTGCATTTCCTAAATAGTGTTTATTGGCAAAAGGAAAACTGTAGCACTTGCTTCACAGACTATGGAGGAGAACTGACAAAATAAAATGAACATAATGTTGTTTTGCCGTATGTATGTATGTAAATACAACTACTATAATGAAGGGCATCATTTGAAGTTAATTGTCAGTAAGTTCAGCAATTTCTATACATTCACAAGTGAATTTCACACTTCAGAGACGCTGGCTGCTTTGGTGAAAATAGACCCAGCTTGTCAAGATAGTGGAATAATAAATGAGACAATAGACGTTGGCACACTGATTAGAATACCTGCACATTTTCTCTGGCAGTCACAGCAGAGCCAGACAGTAACACAACTGCGTACGGTGGACATTTGTGGGTTGCAGACTTTATTCTAATGCTATCTAAGCATGTGGACTGCAACTGACAATCATGACAAATACTTCAGAAGACTACAAAAGCAGCTTGTGATTGACTTCTCAGCCTGTAATTTAGACACAGGAAGATATTTTATACACTTATCCACCAGATTTGGGTGATTAAATTAAATCTCATTAAAATCAGTGATTGTATCATATTAGTAACACAAGTCATATACAGTTGGATATATCTGTATTGTTGTCCAAAAACAATTTAAAAAGTTATACTGTTGACATGCCAGAGGAGGGAAAATAAAACATTTTCTAAGACGTACACTAATTAATTGTTTGTAATTGTTTTCAGATGATGATGCTCTACGGCAGATAAAGGCAATAATTGCTAGTTTGAAGTTTATTGTGGAATTTGTTGATTATACAAAGATTTTTGATTTTTTTGTTTAAACTTGAGCTTTGTCCTTTGATCCAGGTTTCTATTTATCTGGCTTGTGAGTGAGTGTGTGTGTGTGTGTGTGTGTGTGTGTGTGTGTGTGTGTGTGTGTGTGTGTGTGTGTGTGTGTGCCCAAATGAAATATTGACATCCCATTCGCCAGGTCCTGTGTGTATCAAGGTGAGTGAAGAAGTGGAAGATTGACTAGAGAGTGGAACAAGATGGAGAGGGAAATAGAAATGAGAAGGCTGGATAGAGAGCGTAGTGAAAGTGAGTGTGTAAGTGCAGAAACACACTGTGACTGTGTGGGCGCAGAGCAGGAGCAAGAAATACAGAGATGGAGTGTGATACAGGGAGAAATTGGAAAGGGAAGGATGGCTAAACTGGAAGAGAGAGTAGATATGAAGAAAGTCGATGGAGAGTGGGAAGGAGGGGAGCAAGATGAGGGGAAATGGGGAGAGCATGTTGGTGTTTAATGGAGGGTGAAGAAGGGTGAAAGGCAGGGAGAGACCACGGAGGAATAGAGCGCCAGAGGCTATGAGTACCCTTTGTTCACACACATTTTGATGATACGTGAATTCACACCTACAACAGGGACTGTAAAAATGTAACACCACACCCAGAGTGAAGCGTGCTGAGAAAACAACAAAAACATTTTCAAATCTAAATTTAATCCAATCAGTCATTTCATTTAAAAAAGAAAAACATCTGCTGTCTCGAGTGACATACAGTTTGCGGTAGAATCACTTGGATTTAAATCAAACAGACGGATCAATAGCTGGATGGGAGTAATCGATATTAGAGGGAACCACAGAAGTCACAACAAGATGCGTCCAGATAGCTTGAATTGTTTCAATTTCAGCCAAAGCATCAAACTGCAGAGTAACTGGTTCCAGGTAGATGGAGCACAACATCTAAAAGCAAATCAGTGCTAATGGAAAAACCTAGAGTACCAATAAGTCCCGAGAGACAGTCTCATGAAGTCGTAGATGTAGTAACACAAGATATTTTTATATATTTAGTTAGTTTTAGATAAAAATCCTTGTTTGGATTGAAATGAGTACTTTGTTAAGTTCAGGGGCATCACCATGGTTACAATAACAACCACCTCAGGACACTTTTAATATAAAGCCGGTGTAGACCATACTCCTTATAAAATTATTTATAGAGATCAATCAATTCCCATCATGAGAAAGCACTTGGCGACAGTGGCCACATTCCATTATAGGCACAACCACAATCTATGGGAACCTGCGAGACAAGAAAGCACAAAAACACAAAAAGGAAGAGGCTGAGTTAGTAACAGGTGTTAATCGGACATCAGTGTATACAGGTAGAAAGGGAGTGGAGGAGACTGTTAGAGGACAATCGTGGTTAAAAGAACTGTTGGTTGGAAACAGGAAATGAGCAGCTGCCATGTTAGAGTGAGATGTTTTTGTTCACACATCGCTCTCACCCGACCTCCTCCCTATGTGGACTTTGTCACTCTATAACACCTGACTTCCTTCTTTTCTCCCATCACAATTACTATGGCAGCTAGAGGGTTTTGTCGGTTGAAAGTAACGCCAAAGACGAACTGACCTATTTTTTTCCTCATATTTTCTATCAGGAATTGCTTTTCTCATTGCTCTTACCATGCGTGCTTTTCACAAGAGCACAAAGCTTTGATGTTCCAACTGCGATCCATGCTGTCAATGAAAATCTAACAGATAGATTATTATAAGAACATAGAAGATTGACCTGTAAATTGACAATTTACATTGACGTCACGTTAAACAGCTTGTTCACAAACTAGATTATATTCATATTCTGGCTTGTTTCTTCATTTAACATTCCACTTTAAAAACAATGGATTGTGTAGATATATTGTGTGCTCATGCCACTGTCACTGCCTTTAAACCACTGGTTGCCATTCAATTTACTGAAGATGAAAAACTCACTTGGTCGTCACTGACATGCAGAAGTCTTCAGCATGTTTGTTTTCACGTTTAAGCTCATGCTATCTTAACTGCTAAGATATTTAACATCGATAGTCAAATGTACCATGGTACCAGGTCTATTATCTTATTATCTTCTAAAGTTCTTTATACAAACTCTCACATGGGTTTCCTTTCCTATGCTCTTTAATACTGAAATGAACTACAAAACAAACTGACGTTTCTCTGATGGATTTCAGTAATTAAATAAATAAATAAATACAGAATATCCATGAATCAACACTGGGACCAAACCAAAGCTTTTTTCAGTCTCTGGCAGCAATGCAGTGAAGTGAGTGCAGTTTCCTGTATGGGGGATCATGTTGTGTAAGGAGTGAATCATGCTTTTAAGAAGCTGGGAACGCATAACGCTTTTGAAATCCTAACCAACTGTGGGGAAAAAAAGTGGCGTTGCACTTGAAGTTCACAGTGTTCAACTTTCTATAGCCACCTCAAACGACAGGATCATGTTGTTTGCTTGTTCCCAGCTAAAAGGAAAAGAACGGAGTGAGCCTGTGAACATGATGAGGAGTTTACAAAGAAATCCACATCCACGCTGAAAACACAGGTGACAAATCTGATGGCAGATGGGCAAAGAATTACCAAACACGAGCGACAACTCCCACCTGATCTGTGTATAACTCAACCCATCATGATGAGTTTGCCAGAGAAACCAAAGTGAATCCCATATTGAGAGTCTGTGTTTGTCTATCAGAGGACAGTTTTGGTTCCTTTTTTTTTTTTTTTTTTTTAGTTTTGACCATTATTTTAAATGGTATTTATTGATAACATTGCACTTGCCGAAGTACTTACTGAGATCTGGGGCTGTGAGGCTGTACTTTGGCAAAGCGTTGCTCTGAGCTAAATGCTAACATGCCAACATGCTTACAATGATAATGCTAACAGCAGATGTTAAGCGGTTATAACAGCAACTGCGTTCACCTTCATTGTATTAGCATGCTGTAATTTATGCTAATTAGCACTAAAGACAGAGTCAGCTGAGGCTGACAAGAATGTGATTAGGTTTGTGGGTATTTAGTCATAAACATCATAGTCTAAAGTATTGGACAAAGTTCATCCTTAGGGGAACATGAGTGACCAAATTTCATGGTAATCCATCCAGTAGTTGTTCAGATATTTCACTAAAAGACAAAAATGTCCACTCATGGTGGCGGTAGAGGAAAAATCAGGCTCTCCAAAGTCAGTGGGAGAATTTCATGTCATTAAATTCAATAGTAGGCCAACATTACCGTCCCAAGAGCCTTGAATGGCTAAAAATGACTAACATAGTCAAACTAGATTATGTGTGAACACAATTTAAACTCTGTGGATCTAAGGGTAGAAGGTAATGTCCATGTGCCAAGTAAGATTCACTGTAAAAGAAATCACTCATCTATATTACAAACACTTTAAAAAAAAAAAAAAAACCTGTAGGATCATCTGACTTCACATGTTTCTTGAACCATTAAACTTTTTTTCAGTGATATCACCTCATTTCCCAGATCCAATAGGATGTTGGTAGGAAAACTGCCCAAATATACACAAATAAGCCTCAGATGACATGAAACCAGAATTTCTCTTAAATTCATTACATGACTATCTGTCCATCTTTGTTTCCATGTACTTGTCAGTCACCTCTTACAGCATCTGTTTTCTCTCCCAGGTGCTGCTCTCGGGACTGATCGGAGTGGTGTCATGGAAGAGGCCGCTCTCTCTTGTGGTGAGTGTCCTCTGAACGCCCACCCTCAGCTGCTAATCTAACAGCTCTGAACAAAGCAATAATACCCAAGTGGGAGTCTTTTATTGTGGTGATGGGATGGATGGAGATGTGACAATGTACAAGACACATACTTACATACTGAAACAGATGTTTTGTTTTTCTTCCTGTTAGGATCACCATATGTAGATTAGCACACTACAAGAGAATACAAAATGACAAAGGCATTATTAACTACTCTTTATGATTACCTGAGTTGAATAAAAATAGTCAACACGCTGTCATCTGAGTTTATTAACAATAACACAATGTGACAGAGTGCTGACAAACCCGAACCTTGTTGCTTGTCACGCTTGCAGTTTAGCAGTAGTGGAAACTGTAACTGTCTGTGAACACAGTTACAACCTTGGGGCATGTTCAGGTTGTGTTAAAATCCCTGGATCGCAGCTCCAGTTGTATGTTTTCATAGCCAATGACCTGGAAACTGCAGGACCAAAGTCAGTTAGAAGTCTTTTACTTTTCTTGTCTCTGCTTGCAGATGAATAATCATTGAACTGTATGAGTCAGTTCAAATACACATAGCATCATTCTGGATAGAAACCTGTGTGCTGCCATGTGCGCTGTATGCTCTAAACTCCCACCACAGCAGGTGGACCTGGGCCCATATTTATCAAACCACTGACATTTTTCAATAGAAACAAAAAAATGAAGGGAAAGAATAATGTAAGAGAGCTCTAGAGGTTTCTTAATTTGCAGCATGGAAACAAGATGTGTATGCACACCTTCTGACACCAGTTACTGAGTGATTTTACAAAATATCTTTGGTAATTTATACATTACCTGAATATAAATAATTCACAAAAGGACTACAAAGAAAAATGCTGGCACTGGTTTGTATGCAATCACTTTATCAATATAGCACTAAAATCGCCTTATTATATGATTTTTATGATGTATCTCTTCTGATAGCAAAAGAGTTTTATCCTTCTTTAGTTTGGTTTTCATTTGTTTCCATGTCAGACAATTTCCTATTGATTTATCCCTATTTATACATTTATATTATAACTATTTTAGCATTCTTAAAAGTAATTCTTGAGGCCCAGGGCTAATTTTTATCAAAGAATTACACTGAAGAATTCTCTAAGAGCCAAATGTAGTAGTGAAAATATGTGCATATTTATGAAGCTACTCCCTTCGATTTTCAGCAAAGTGTAAGAGTGGCCATTAAGAGCAACTCTCAAGTGACCACATGATAAATCTGCAAATAATAGGTTATTCTGAATCATGCATATTGCTTCAGCTAATGTAGTATCCATTATGACCAACAATATTTGTTTTTCACTCTCACTCTCTTACTTTTGTTTCCACACTGCATCTTTTGTGGCATTTTTAAGTCGTAAGAAATTTGCTTTATGTGTTAGTAGAAGTAGAAGTGAAGGATTTTTACTTTTCATAAATAAACTAGATAACGTTTTTTTTTTTTATAAATATGGGCCCTCAGTGGTCTTGCAGTGTTGTTTTATATCTGAGTGGTGAAATGTTTCTTTCCTTCCCAATAGTTCCAGTCATTTGTCTGCCATAATAGATCCTGAAAACCTTTAAATGACACATAGGGTGTGTTATAGCCCACACTCCCCTTACCTGTATGTGTGATACATTGCACAACATAAATAATTTTTTTCCTCCTTTGTACTACAAAAAGACATACTGATGCACTCGAGACTCGGGGTGATCATGATGTCTCTCTTTAAAGTGGAGATCAGGATTGGGGTATAGCACAAACAAGCCCCTGCCCAATTCTATTTCACGCTCTTTTAATGCCATAAATAATCTCATCACATCTCTGCTGCTTTACCAAAGCGTGTAGTACCCCTTCCCTCTCCCTGCATATCACTTGTCTTGCTCCCTTTAGTTTTATCACATTGCTTCTGTGCTACACATATCTGCATCCCTTTGTGTAACGCTAGACCACAGAAAGAGATCCGAATCATTTCAGCTCTTGGGGATCAAAGGAAATATCCCATCATTGAGGTGTGAGTAGAAATTGGTCACACGTTTTGCTCTGTAAAAGAGTTAAATCCTCTTACCTCTCTTTCCATAAAATGCATGACTAATTTACTGGAATAGTCTGCACCTGCCAGCATACAGAGACATCACTCTTTGGCCACTGCTTCCTGACTTTAGGGGTCTAAAAGCTATTATCTGGTGTGGTTTTTGTTACTGTTGCATGTAATGTTCAGTCCTGACAGTCAAGCTTTTCCTTTTCTGGCCTTGACCCAGCGCTGACTGGCAGGTGACTAATGCACCGGCTGGACGCTTTCAGTCCTGGCAACGTAGCACCAATCCATCTGCCAACTGTGGGTGGCCATCGTGATTCGTAAACCATTCTCCAAACCATTTAAGTGTATGTGTTAAATACTTGATTTCTTAGCTGTGTTATTCAAGATTAGTCTCTTATATGATAAAACAATGTCCATGGGCTAATCTGGGGAGTTTAGTCATTTTACAGAGATTATTAATCTGCTGCTATTTTCATAACTTCAAGCAAAACATGCCAAATATTTGATGCTTCCAGTTAAGTGTGTGTGTAGGGTGCTTTTTTATTTTATTGGACTGTTATGTAGTTGGATCCAGCAGCCGGTTAAGGACCCACAAGGTGTGAGCCGTTAATACACTTAGCTTTGCTCAAAGACTGGAAACAGGGGGGAAACAGCTAGCCTGACTCTGTCCAAAGGTAACAAAAACTGCCCATTATATGTCTTGTATGTCTTGTTCTGTAAAAAATATGTGAATGCGGGGTGCCCTGGTAGCTCACCTAGTAGAGCTTATTCCTTGTTGCACTGGTCATGGGTTTGAGTCCAGCTGGACCTTATTTTATGGCATTTCAAAGACTAAATGATTAATTTAAAAAACAAACAAATGAACAATCAAATCAATTACAAAAATAATCATTAGTTGCCTAAAACAACTGGTATAAAATGTTAAGATAGATAGATAATTATAATCTCAATATTTTGAGATATTTAAACAATTTTGCAGCTTTCTGAGATCTTTGTATGTACATTGAAGTATTAGAGACAAATACGAGTTATAAATAGATGTATAAATATAAGACGAGACAGGGTATAGAGAGGAAAGCTTGTGTAACATCTTAGGTTCTGAAACATTGCAGTCAAGTCAGCGTATGACATCTAGTGCAATGTCTGGATGGTTGAAGACTGAATGTTTGTATGCCAGAATGGAAAAACCAGGTTCACTATTGTGGGGAGAGAAGATGTGTTGAATATGAAATTCTGTCTACCCCAACTCTTTGTAAACTTCACATCAAAGGTATATTGAAATATTGTGCTTGGAATGAGAAAACACACCGTGTCCATGTTTGAAGGAAATACTCCTCGTCCACCTTATCTGAAATAGCTAATAAACATTGTAGTTTTTTATTTAGTCAAGTCTGCTGCATTAATGCCACAGCAGATTTACTCCGTATCACTCGGAGGCAGGAGAGAGACAAGACTACCTGCAGTCTTCTGCTGTTTGTGACTGTGATGGATTATGTGTTTAGAGAGAGACAAAAAGACAGAGTGAGAGTTAGAGGGCGGTGAATCCTTGTTTGCCCTGTCGGGAAACACGACAGTGATAGTCTGCAGTATAAAGTATTTGTCTGAGGAAGCCTCAACTGTTTTTGCTTTGTTTTTTTTCATTCGTTTTCTATGTATTTGTACAGTACACATAACGAATACCTCTACATACCTCTCTATATATTTAATGCACAGTTAATTCCATTTTAATCAATGCAGTTCCAATGCAGAGCTTTTCTGTGCCAGTACATCATCACTGAGTTTTATGACTCTATGAAATCCGTCGCTTTGCTCTGTGGGAATAGAAACTTTTTCCGTTCCTTTGTGAGAATGTTGAAGCTATTAAAAAGTGAATAGATTTTAAACTCAAATTAAACGATGGGGCGTATGTTTAGTGCACTATATAGACTGATTTTGACTGTTTTATCAATTTCCTCTAACTCTTAGCAAGAAAGCAAGTAAGTACATTTTCTAAAATGTTGAACTTTAAGACTATAGACTTAGTCTTAGTTTAACCTGTATTCTCAGATTTTAGTTTATTTATATATCAGTCTGGCTGTTTCATTCATAAAAAGAAAGCGATATGTACTTTGTCCTGAAGTGATACTTCTCTGGACTGAAGTGCAGCATGGAGAGATTTAAATAATGGAGAGGACAGCAGTGTTAAGGTGAAACTCAGCCCTGCACTTGTGAGATGTCAGGTAGCGAGAGAGTCTAACATGTGCAGCTACTTTACATTCATGTTTCCACAGAGATGGAAGTACAAGTTCTTTAGTGACAGGGTTGCACAGGGTTGGATCCATGCTCTGCAGCTGAACCATGGTCTGAATGCCACAAAGTGCTTCCCTGCACCACTGACTTTGTATATGTTAAGTATATTCCTGTTTATGCAGCAATGAATGATTGAGGATGTTGATTCTGTTTGTGTTGCACTGCTACTGTGATTAACTCATCATGCAAATTTTGTAGAAACACGTTATGTCTGTCGGCCAATTTGGTCCAAACAACAATATCTCAGCAACCTCAGCAACTATTGTAGTAAAGAAATCCATGGGATTTTTCAGTGATCGCTATTGGCTATATTGAACTATATGAGCCCCATTCGATATTTTGTTTAACGTGCAAAGCTTTCATGCACAGCAATGCAGTGCAGCAATCATCAGCTCTCCACTGTCTCTCTCCTCCACTCTGCTGAGCTGTATTAATATTAACGTTCCTTAAGGCACCGCCCTTAAAGAAGGGAAACGATAGCCAATAATTGATTGATTCAGTCGCATTAAATACACTAAACTATCAGTCAACACTTTTGAACCAGACAGCTGTACAACCTCCATATTGCTGACCACTGTGATTGACCCTTCAGCTAAGAGACGCTCCGTGTTGCATTTTATAACTAAACTATGAGCAGGACACACACTTTTACTT